CAAACCCAACCATCCATCCATCCATCCATCATCCATCCATCCATCCATCCATCCATCCATGCATCCATCCATCATCCACCATCCATCCATCCATCCATCCATCCATCCATCCATCCATCCATAATATTAGCCCAATTTTCCCTTTGGATCGATGCCAATATGTTTAAAAATATCAAAACATTGGCCAGTAGTGAAATCGGTGGGGAATTAGAGCCATTTACTCACCATGAGGACCTATCAAGCAGCGTAGCTTATTTCTGGTTCAGTTGGCTGCATCATCTTGGTGTATCGTTACCAGAGAAACCTGTGTCTGAAAGAAACAATTTCATTCCTATTCCTATTCATTCTTATTCTCAAGAAAAGAATAAGGCCAAATGTTTGTCTAAAAATTGTACCAAGGCATCCAAATGTTTACTATCATTAACTAACTTGTGCTGAATTTATTTCTCTTTTTTCCCACCAGTACCTCTACAGAACTGGCTGGAATCATTGACAGGCTACAGAGAGATGCTGATAAAGTGGAGAAAAACATCTATGATATTGAGCAGAACCTCAACAAGGTAAAGTTTTATGAAAGTATATCTAAATTTAAGGTAAATACATTGCTCACTTTATTTACTTGTTTAAATCATCCATGTATTTCATGCATTCGCATGACAGGAGCCAAAGTTCTAGGGGTTGTTATTATTATGATTGAATTCCTAAGCTGAGTGTAAAAACTGAAAAAGAAACATAACTGAAGTACCGTAAATCCTCTAATATTGGCCTGTATTCCATTAGCGGCTGGGACTCTAACAATGGCCGGTCTCGCTGTCGGCGGAGGTAAATACTGGCCGGACTTTTATACAGGCCGGGACTATAATTAGAACCAACGATGTTCCTGGGCAGTCCTCAACAGCTTGTGATAGTAACATACAAGTACCACAGGGGGGCAATGTTTGCTAACCAATCCAAGCCATTAGCATGGGAAGTCCCACCCTTACACAGAGATCGTAGTGGCCTTACACAATCGTTCTGATCTGAAAGACAGGTATGATTAGGTCTGATATGTCTCTCTAGATAATAAAGAGTTCTTGCTAGAATTAGCAAGCATTTATGCCTACCTCTAGACAATGTGGACAGATATTACAGCAGAAAATAGAGGGATGTGAAAACACAGTGTAAGCTCAGAGGCAGTAGATGTTGGAAGGAGTAGGATTGTGCAGAAAGTTAGCAGCCATAGTGAATTCATATTTCCAGACAATCAGATATACAATCAGAGTGGGCACTAAAGGCCCAGAACTATTCAGCATGACTAGCATTTTATGGAGGTGTAACATCTCTATGAAAGCCCTGTGCTTCCCCTGAGCAACTCTTTGTACACTCTTTGTAACAATGCACTCAGGAAATTCTTGTATGCAAGAAGAGAGGTACAAGAACACCCACACAGGGTGAGTAGAAGCTCATAGCAGTATTCCACACTTTTTTCACAGGATGTAAGTAAGATCAATGAAGGGAAGCAGACGCTGTACCAGGGTGACACCAACGGGAGAATCCTCGATTCTCTGAAGCTGCTTGATGACCTGGATGGATATGCCCGCAACGCCAAGCGCCTCCAGCATCCTCAGGCTGAGATGATAGAGCAAGAGTGAGTCCTTCTTACTAAAACTGACCATCCTCCTGAAGCAAAACACTCCTCCTAGTGTTGCAGGGCATTCCTGCCTTTTCTCTGCCAGACTTTTCATTTTCCTATGTTACCTGTTTATTGTGTGTTCAGTATGATTCAGCTGCGAGAGAGAGTGAATAAGCTGAAAGAGGACCACGACCGAATCTACCACCTGAGCCGCACGGAGGGGATGCCCAGCGTTAACTGGGGCAACATCATGGAAGAGAAAATGGTAAGACATTGATAAGGGAGAATAAATTGTTCACACCTTTAGGATTCACTCTCAGTATAAAGCAGCAAACAGATACAAACACAGTGGCGCAGAAAAGATGCAGCAAAAGGTTTATCCTCACTACTAGTGTTAGTTCAATTCTGTAAAACCCTCCCTTAACATTTCTTATGCTACGTTCACACCGGACGCAGCAAGAGCAGCAAAATCGCTTCATTTTTGCTGCTTGTACCAGTTTAGTTCTGACGCGCGGCTGAAGCAGCTTTGCTGCTCTGGCTCTGACGCGCGTTGGGCAGAGCTACAATATCCTTTATTTGCCTTGCAGCTATATTTGCTGTTATCAGTGGGAATAAAGTAGTTTTAATATATTTTTAAGTGGGCAAATACACCTGAAAACTTCATCAGTGCAGTAAGTTCATCCAGATTACAATCCTGCCCTTCAATGTTATTTCTGTCGGAGTCGCTCAGACCCCCACATACCAGCAGTGCGCCGACAGTAGGATCCCAGCCCACAGCAGCCTCTGGCCGGGTCGCCTCCTTGCGGTTCACCGTGGTAGCTGGTAGTTGTTTTTTTTATCTAAATAATCCGATCTGTAGGCACCAGGATAATAAAAGCGAACAAGAGGAGCTCCTCTGATTGGTTGACGCGGCGCGTCGAGCAGCAAAAGTAAAATTTTTCCATCTCGAGCAGCAGCGCGTTTGCGGCGCGCCACACACATCAGATGCTTAAACGAGCCCGACGCGCTGCTTCAGCTGCTCAAAGCGCACTGCGGGACCTTTTGCTGCACCTTGACGCGCGCAAACCATTGACTTTGCATGTAAACTCGCTGCTTCTGCTGCGCCTGCTGCGTCCGGTGTGAACGCAGCATTAGGTTTTGGAGTTTTGGTTTAATATATCTTTGGACAGTTTAATCCCTCCATCCATCCCTCTATCTCTGCCTCCATATGATTACATTTCATCAAATTTAACCAGCAGTTTACTAAATTTCATCTCAAGTTACATATAAATAAGAGTTTACTTAAGAAGATTGGCTTGCTGTATTCTAGGTCTGGTTTTCTGTTATATGCCAAGTATTTAACTGCATTTTACTGGATAATTAACACATTCATTTATTACTGTAGGTGAACTGAAAATTAATTACTTGGTAATATCAGTTTAAGAAGTCGGACTTTACCTTGTCTATCTGAATTATGAACCACAGTACTTAGCTGATCATAAGTTACAATTCACTTTGTAATCCGTTGGTAGGTAGTGGGCAATAATATAAACTGTGGTGTGTTAACCTGATGCTAATTACCCACAAAAAAATTCTCCATTGTTACGTAGTAATATGCAATCACAATATTTGCTCTCTTGTAATTACTTTGAAATTATATGCCTTAATTTTGGTTTTGTTGTTACCTAGTAATTTAGTGTAACTTGCTAATCTATTAACATATTATTACATGGTTATTGAAGTATTATAAAGAAAAGCGTTACCGACTATACAAGCATTGGTTATTCCTGGAAGGTATGGAGGACCTGCATTTCAGTTGTAGTTAAACCAACAACCTTCCCACCTGACCGGTGGATATTAAGCCTTCTGAGTCTTCTTTCTGTCTCTCTATCTAGGAAAACCTGAACAACAAGGGCTATGGCAATGACCTGAATACTGTGGAGAATGAGGTGGAGGAACACAACATCTTCCACAGTGAGGTAGAAGCTCTGGCTCCTCACATCTCTACTGGTGGAGACAAGGTAAGGCAAGGGCAAGGCAAATTTATTTGTAAAGCACAATTCAGTACAAAGACAATGCAAAGTGCTTTACATGATTAAAATACAGGAAAATAAAACAGAATCACAGCAAGTTGGATAAAAAAATAAAATAGGACCACTAACACACACACAAAAGAAAAGCTTCACTTATATTAATTAATGTTCTTTTTTTTTAATTTAGTTATTAGTTTTGTTTTTTTTTGTTGGGGGGGGGGCTGTAAAGTGTTGAGAATGTTACTTATATAAATATCTAGTTATAGTTACTTTCACTGAGCAGTATCTGAGTTAGCAAATCAGTTACTGTAGATGTAAGCCAAAAGTTATAGCCTATTTATAACCTTAAATTCACTACAAAAAAGGCATTAAGCAGAAAAATAATGTTTTTCAAGCAATTAAATAAAAATGAAATATACTTTGCTAAAGAATCAAACAGGGTTTTAACTTTTCCAGAAGAAAACCCCAACCAGGACTGTACCAGTACGTAAAATTAAACCACACAAGGACAATCATTATAGCGCTGAGAAAGTAAAGAATGTGTTGATTAAAAGCAGCAATTGTCTGTTGGTGTTAAGATGATGTTCAGAGGTTCTTTAAATTACAGCTTCTAACTAACATTTATACTATTTTTATTTCTCCACATGATGAGCAAATCACAGCAACATTGAGCCTTCAGTAGCTCTACTGTAGGAATAAATTAATCCAACATTAATTTAAGTGAAAATAAATGTTCTTTTTATTAACAAATGTGACAAATCTTTGATCATATATTGTGTGGTGAGTAAAAGTTGTAAATTTTTTCCCTTTTTATTCTAATGTTCTTGTCTTATTGGTGCAGGAATACCTCAGTGACCTCCAGACGAAATACAACAAACTGCTGGTAATAAATCCACTCAAAATATTCCTTAATTACACAGAAAATGACATGTTTTTCAGCAACTTAGGCATTTTCCCTTTTCTATACAAGGCCAGCTCTAGTGCTCGTCAGCGCCACCTTCTGACCCTTCGGGACTACATGCAGCGGTGCACAAATGAACTGTTCTGGATGGACCAGCAAGCAGAGGAGCGGTTCAACTACGACTGGAGTGACACCAACCTGGATTACCCAGCCCGACAAAGGCAGTATGAGGTACCTGGGGGGGGGGATGGAGCCACACCCTATTTATAACCATTAGAGCTGTACATGAATCCGGTTTGTCTCCCCCAACAGAACTTCATCAGTAAATGTCTGGAGAGCAAGGAGGCCACCATCACCAAAGTGAATGATGACGGACAGAGTCTGATTGATGCACAACACCCCGGAAAAAATGTTATCGAGGTAGATAATAAAAGCAGTTATGCACTGATCTGATATTAATGTCTACAATGAAATAAGACAATCTGTCTATCAATTTCCTGCTCTATTCTTCCCCCATTTTTGAATAAGACCCCAAGATACTTGGACTCCTTCACCTGGGGCAGGACATCTTCCCCAACCTAGAGAACGCGCTCTATCTTTTTCTGGCTCAAAACGATGGCCGTGGATTTAGAGGCATTGATCCAGAAATTCCGTCCATAATGTGATGAACAGAATCTGCGCCAAAGGACAACCTTGTCAGAGTCCGACTCAAATTCGAAATGAATTTGACTTACTTACTGTGAACAAAGCTCTGACACTGGTCATATGGGAATCCAACAGACCGATACCCCATGCTTTCTGAGTAATCCCAACAGGACACCCTGAGAGATACCCTTGAATGACTTCTCCAATTCCAAAACGCACTCCCATGAACACTCTAGCATCCTGCTGAGGGTGTAGAGCTTGTCCAGTGCAGGACAAAAATCATACCCTACCTGAATCCCTTTTATCCACTTGAATAGATCTAATCAGATAGGCTTAGGAGTGTGATTCCTGTGTCGTTGGAGCACACCACCTATTCCCCCTTTTTGAATAGGGGGACAACCATCCGGTCTGCCAATCTAGAAGCCCAACACCCAGTCCCAAGACTCATGTTTCCTCTTCGGGCCGTGGCTGGCCAGGCTCCATGTGTAGAAGCCTGTCCACCAGGCACTCACCAGCCTCTCCCATCTCCAGGGGCGTTGCTCTAGAGCAAGGCCCCAGTGACCCACGTCCAGGCGAGGAAACAATGTTTCTATGAATGTTTTTCATCAGATGGGGTCTTTAGGCTGCACTTTCTCTGGCCCCTCACTTAGGACTGGTCTACTTTGGGTAACCATTTTATTGGCATGAAATCCCCGGACAGCATAGATCCTAGGATCATTGGAAAACTCAAACCCCTCCACCACGGTTAGGTGGCAGGCCCATCTGATTGTGATTTGATCCTGCAACAACATCTGGTGCCTGTGCATATTAGGGGAAAGGTTGATATGACACCTTGTTAGGATATACTTAGATTTTACTAGTATAGTCTTATTTTATAACCCCATCATAAACCAGAACTACTGAAGAAAAAAGGAAAGGCTGTATTTGATCTTTTTTTACCCCTTTCGTCAGAAAGCTTGGTTTCTTAAATTGCTTGATTTGATGTTGTCAGGCTCATATGGACGCCGTACATGCCGACTGGAAAGAGTACCTGAACCTGCTCATATGTGAGGAAAACCATCTCAAGCAAATGGCTGAATATCACAAGGTCAGAGAGAAGAACAGAACTGACACTTTAAAGATTCCCAAAGGAAAATAACACAATGAAATTAAACATCATCATGTCTGAGTTGACGTCTGTTCATGTACAGTTCCACAAGGATGCCCGTGACACTCAAGATCTGCTGAAGCGGCTGGATACAGAAGTCAACCAGAAGTACAACCCGGAGTTCAAAGACGTTTATCAGATGGAGAGTCTGATCTCAGATCTTGATGTGAGCATCACTGCTAAAGAAGCTGTATTACCAAATATTTCTGCTATAATAAGATGGTTATTTTTCATCTGCCTGTTATTGAGCAGGACCAATCTAAGGCTGTGGATCACTTTGATGAACGGGTTAAGGCTTTGCAGAAGCGGAGCCTGCAGGTTTTGCCTCTGAAGTACAGGAGAGAAACTCCCCAGAAGTTGCTGCCAGTCGAAGCTCTGTGCGAGTTTGACTCCGAAGATGTATGTATATTAAAAATTCCTTTTAAACTTCACTTCCAGTTTTAGGGTTGATGAATTCTCCCCATGATCGGTTGAAGCTGTCACCTAGTTACTGATTTAACCAGAACTCCTGCTGAGGCCAGCTCTGAACATGGCGGATGTAGTCCAGAAAAGTTAACCTCTTTCCATATTCCAGGGGCAAATCTTGCGAGGTGAAAGGTACACCCTGCTGCGGAACAACGGAGCTAGATGGGATGTTAAGGATGCAGCTGGACGTAAAATCACTGCCCCAGGGGTTTGCTTCATGATCCCTCCCACTGACCCAGAGGCTGTGGCCATTTCTGACAAGTAAGTGTTCATCTGACTTTAATGCTCTGCCGTCGGACAACAGGGCTTGTTTTATTCCACTGTAGCTTAAACTGCATTTGCTATTTTATACCTGCAGCCTGGCTAGTCAGCAAAAGGCTCTCAAGCAGAAGTTGGCGTCCAGCAAAGCGACTTTACAGAAACGTCATGATGTGCTGAAGACGGAGAGTGGAGCAGGAGTACCTACAGGTACGGGAGGCGTCATCCTCACTTTATGTTCCTGTTCAGAGTCAATACCTAAATCAGTTTCTCAGTGAACTGTAGCACATTATAAGTTATTTAGCTATATTGGTTTGGTAACCAATTTAGGGACTTCAAGTTCATAAATTCACTTTTAGAAGCAAACAATTCAACCTCAAATTGATATGTAATAACTAATGGATCCACCCACTAAATAATAAACAATTATCTTTTTTATAGTTACACTAATTTATCTCTGTGATTGTTTAAGTAAAGAAAGAAACACGAAGGGGTAATCTGAAGGGAACCCATTTAATCCCACCAGTCCTCTGGAAGCCAAAAAATATTTTTCTTTTAGCCTTCGGAAACTAA